CTGGTCATGTCTCATGACTGGCCATAGGTCACCAATAGACTGAGAATAAACTATACTTTTTATAAGTGTGGCAAGTGTTAAATTTAATGTGGTGTTGTATGGGTGCTTTTTCTGGCATGTAGTGCATGCTCAATTATAGTCATCATTATCCCTCACACTAAGTTTTTTGCTCACATATCTTCAGTTGCTACAACTATATAATCATTTGCCTAGCTCCCCTCCTCCTCTCTATTCCAGCTCTCAGCTCAGCAAGCTGGCTTTTGAGACCCACTCCAGCTTCACAATCTGGCTACAGTTTGTATTCCTCCTCTTACCAGAAGAGACCAGGGTTCTCCAGATGTGGTCTGACCAGGGCAGCATGAATGAAGTCATTACTTTCCTTAATAAGCCCCCTCCATGTTTGGAGATTGTGTTCCAATTTTTTTTTATTTTTTTGCAACCACATCATGCCCTCAACTCTCATTAAGCTTGGGGTTAGCTAACATAGAGTCATTTCAGCTGCATTCGAGGTAGAGAGGAGGGAGAGAGTCCAATGGGACATTCCCTTGTTTCCTCTCCTCTTTTTCTCCATCTAAGAGCCCCCTTAGAAATTAGTCTCTGATAACCGTTTTTGGCAGCTGATTGGGTAATGGTGCTGGGAATAGAATGGCCGGTCAAAGGTTCTACAATTCCCGGAGAAATTGCATCCAGGCCCAGCCCCTGACTCCTTTGCAAGCCATCCCTGTCTCATTCTTGCCTGCTGAGACACAATAAATGCATGTGTAGTGTCCCTCCTTCACCTCTTGCTTCCAATCCCAGCAGGCTTGAGTTCCAACTCCAATGAGGAAGATTTCATTTCTGGCATTTGAGAAAAGTGGTCATGACCTAGGATTTCCCCTCTAGGAAAAGCTTGAAGCATGCCTGACCTTTGATTTGTGGATCTCCACTGCTTTCAATTTATTACCCAGCACTCTTACTTTTGGTATCTCTCGCTCTCTTTTCTCTTCTCCAGCCTTTCTGAACCTCTAATCCATCTTTCCATGCCTTAACCTTCTGAATCCTCCTTTCTATCTTTGTTGTCTAAATGCAAACATTGGTTTATGCTAAGCCCTGTGCTGGATGGTTAGGGTATTCATTTAATTTCAGTCTAACAACAAACCTACAAAGTAAGTATTTGTATTCCTATTTTACAAATGAGGATACTGAGGCTCAGAGAGATGAAGTGACATGTGCTAATGGGCTCTAAAGCCCATGACCTTTCTATTATAAATCCTACTTTTAATTGCAGCTAACATTTACTTAGGATTAATCAAATTGCCAACGTTATCTCATCTTGCCAACACTATTTCCATTTTACTAACATGCTAACTAAAAATTTGTTGCATTGAAGAACTTGCTCGTGATTCTCATAGCTGTTAAGTGACAGAGTTAGGACTTGAATCAGGGGCCCCAAAGCTTAATACTTCATCTTACCTCTATGCAATCAGAAACCCTGCTTCTAGATGTGCCTATTATTAACAAAACATTAATTCCAAGCAATTCATTTTCTCACTCCAAACCTTCTTTTGCAACTATGCAAAAGAAGATTTTGTCCAGTTGTGTTTCAAGAGTCTTTCTGAGGATATGGCTGGGCCCTTGGAGGCAAAGCATTTGGCCATGTTGAGAAAATTACCCTTTTCAACCTCATTTTGTATTTATTGCTTATTTTTGTGACTGCTTGGATCAGCCAATGATACTTCATCACCCAAAGTATGAAAGCCAAGTCCTTCAACATGGCATGGAAGAGAATAGAATGTCTGATCTCTGCCAAGCTCACTGGTCTCCCACCCATTCTTTGCATTGGTTATTTCAAACAATTGCTGGTTTATGCTTTCTCTTTCCCACTTGGGATGGCCTATTTCCTCTGCTCTTTCATATACCTGAAACATTTGTTTCATCATTGAAGACCCAGTTCAGCTGTCACATCCTTTAGGAAGACTTCTCTGAGTCCCCAAATTGATGGTTAGGTGCCCATCTGATATATTTCATAGTAGCTTGATATCTTCCAACCCCAAACTCTGTCCTTATTAATATTTCTGTCTGTCTTCTGCCCCTGCCTTATGGTGACACAGTGTCCACCAGTTCATACCTATTCCCTGGTATATAAAGAACACCTAATAATGCAGTGATGGTGGTTGTGATTATGATGATGTTTGTTTTTAACATGTTTCAGATGCTTACTATGTAAGCTTTTCTAAGCTTCCTGTATAACACTTTTCAAAGAGTTACATGTATGAACTTACTTAAGTCCCACAAGGTGAGCAATATGGCAATCCCTTTCATAGATAAGAAAACAGAGTAAGTTCAGAGAGAAAAATCAAACCAGCACCCCTAAGTACAATGATGGGAAACAGTTAACACCTGGATATGCCCTGTACCTGGTTTCTTGTGGCCAGTTTTTCCCTTTCTCTACTCAATTTCCAAAGCAGCCAAAAATATTTTTAAACATTCCAGCTCCAAACCAGTTACTTTCCTTCTTTAAACTCTTCAATGCTCCTCCCCCCCCCCACTTTCCCTCAGGAAAATAATCATAGATAACTTTGACAGCTTATCATAGATTCATTATTCCTTTCTAAGTTTTGAAACAATATGCTGTGGTATATACAGTTATTCCCATTTTATAGGAAAGGCAAGACAACATTTGTACAAGTGGTATACTTTGCTCAATATCACCTAGCTGGCAAGTGGTTGAGCTGAAATTTGAATCTGAACAGCCAGCACTCTAGAGCCTCTGGATGCATCATTTCTCCACAAAGTGGAGACAATGCTGGGCATTGATGGTATGTAAACACCCTGGCTCCTTTCTATTTGGTTGGACCCACCGGGTTCCCACTTAGGCCCTGTGTTACAGCCACAAATTCTCATAACTTCCATGCAGTCTCTTTCAATTGTGGCTTTGCCTATCTTGCCTTCTATGCCTTTTCCCTCTTCTTTATTCAACTCCATTCATTTCTGACACTCAACACAAATTCCCCTCCCACTAGAAGCTTTCCTGGATATCCCCAATTCTACTTGGGAATCTCCCTCTGTCTTCACACAACTCTGTGATCATTTTTAAATGAAATCATTGCTCATGTTTCCTGTATTATAATCTTTACTTGTTTTGTCTTTCCCATTGAATTCTGCTGTATGTCCTCCACTCAGGAGCATGTATTATGCTATCTCCTTTAACTTCACAACAGTCTGCTTTTCAAAGGCAGAGACAAGTTTAGAGATGTGAGGTAAATTTCCCAAGGTCACAGAGCTATTAAGTAACAGGACAAAAACTCAAACGAAAGAAGGATGAGAAATCAACTTCTCAAACTCCTCTTGGTGGTGAGGCCTGAGTGGAGGCCGGGCTACGGATAGAGTGTGATTGTGGAAGTGATGAATTCTTGGCACCTCAGAAAATATTCCGCCCAAGTGGTGAGCTATACAAAGAGGACTTTTTGAAAGGCATCTCATAAATCATGACCACAAAATGTAATCCATAAGACCAGTCCTTTTTTCAGCAGCCATGCAGGTGCCTAATACAGTCTCCCATTTGTGGGGTCTATGTTATAAAACTCCTTCTCTCCTTGGGGTTTCAGAAGGGCATGGAGAGGACAGAAGGAGAGAGAGCCTCTTGACTAGCCTCCTGGGATCCCGGAGTATCTTGAAGATGCTGGAATGTAAAAAAGATCGGTTTCACATGGAGACAGACACTTGGACAATGAAGCTGATTTGTAGTGTGACCTGAGAAAAAGATCTTCTTTTCCCTCTCTACTCCTCAGTTGCCACATTTTTAATGAAAGTAGGTCAGACTAGATCAGTGGTTCTCAACTGGATCTATTTTGTCTCCTAAAAGGACATTTAACAACATCAGGAGTTAATTTTATTGTCCTAACTTGTGTGAGGCAGCTATTGGCATCTGTGGGTAGAGGCTCCAGAATGCTGCTATCCCACTTCATTGTTCATGTGAGAAAGGACTGATAGTGCCAAGGCTGAGAAACTCTGGACTGGGTAATCACAAAGATCCCTCTTATCTTCTGCTGTGAAACCATCACCTCTCAAGGATCCTCTCAGGTGTTTGGTAAAGGGTTCTAGGTATGTTCCAATGATGACCATCACACAGATTGATACTTGCATCAGTTAGTGTTCATGTTAATCTTGTTTCTGAGTCAATCTTTATAATTGTAGCTCTCACTTATTAGAAGCTGACTCTTTACCAGCTACTGAAAATTTCTCACTCATGATTATCTCACAGTCAGGATAAGACTGTCATCACTATTTTAAAGATGGGAAAAATGGGACACAGAGAAGTTCTGATTTGGGGACATTTATATTTAGGCTTTGATGAAAGAGAAGCATAGAGGGCTTGATTTCCAAATTTCGTGACTGGGAGAAAAGCTTATGAGAGACTGAGAGAAGCAAAAAGAGACAGTTGGAGAGGACTTGTGGGTGTCCAGGCCTAGATTCAAATGCCCACCTCCAATGGTCAACTTGATATTTGACCTTAATCAATCAAGGTCATTTTGTGAGCCTTGCTTGTGTTCCTCATCTGTTATGTAGGAGTAAAAAGGAGCAAAGCATCTTTATGTGAAGATTAAATGGAATTTTAAAATGTATGTAAAGCACACATCCAGTGCCTAGCACATGGTAAGTGTCAAATTTTAGCTGTTCTTTTTGAGGTATTTTTTAAATCATTACTATAATAATTTTGTGTGGTCAGGTCCCAATGCTAGTGATCTTCAAACTGTTCTGGATCCCACATCCTAGAAGTGAAAGTGCTAAGTCAAAGGTTCCACCTCCTCAGTTTTTTGAATTTGCACACCTGAAGAGGCTAAGTCTTAAGGTAGATTTTTAATAGGCATTTAAAGGAACTACACTAAGGTTGAGAATGATAAGGAAGTTATTGGGGCAAGATGCCCTTATATGTCTTTTGATCTTTCTTCACCACCTCCAAGGCCTAAGACCTGCTCTGGACTTCTTCCCTAACCATTGCTATCTCCTTTGCCTTTCAGGAAGGCGCATCTGATCCTGCGGCGGCTGGAGAGGGTGAGCAGCCACTGCTCCAGCCTCCTGAGAAGCGCCTACATCCAGAGCCGTGTGGACACTGTGCCCTACCTTTTCTGCCGCAGTGAGGAGGTCCGGCCTGCAGGCATGGTGTGGTACAGCATCCTCAAGGACACCAAAATCACATGCGAAGAGAAGATGGTGTCCATGGCCCGAAACACGTATGGGGAGTCCAAGGGCCGGTGAGGGAGGGTTCCACCCTCCATGAGCACAGAGACTCTCCTATGGGGAGCAGTAGTCTTGAGGATCCTGGGGCCTGGGTGGGCTGGGGGCCAGCTAAAGGATGGGCCTGGCAGATGAAACTTGCCAGCAAGGCCAAAGCAAACTGTTTCTCCTGTGGGTAGTGGACAGAGGACTTTGTAATCAATAGAATTATTCATTTTCCTCTATCTTTTATTTTTTCTAAAATATTATTTGACTCTCTCAAATGTCTCTCCTTTTTAAATCTTTTCTTATGAATGGCAGTCAATGGGGAGGCAGGAGCTTTCAGGTGGAGACCGAGCGGCCTTTCCTCTTCTTCCTCCCTCCTGCCACACTCAGCTTCCTTCCTACCACGGACCCCTGGAGGAGACTTCTGGAGAGACAGTTTCACCTCTTCAGCATCAGGAAGGAAGCCCTGAGGATTGCTGCAGTGAGGAAGCTGGGCCTTTAAGGACTCTCTGTCTTTCTCTCTCTCTTTCTTTCTCTCTTCTTTGGACATTATCGAGTTTGCAGCACCTCTGCTTCTTCCTGCTACCTGTGGGTCTGCCCAGAGTCCCTGCAGGACTTTCTGTGCATTAAAAATTCCTATTGTCTCTCTTTCCGCTTGGGTGGTATTTCTTACCAGTGGAGTATGTTTGAGGACCTGTGTTTATTCATGCAACAAATATACATTGGGTAGATATTGTGTGAAAGACACAGGACGTACCACTAAAGTCAGAGAAGTTCTCTGCCCTCTGGGAACTTATGGCCTAGTAGTTATTATAAGGAAGTTATCTGGTGATTTCAGTCTTTGCTGGGGAAGAATGGAGGTTCTGTGAACTCATCCTTGGGTCACACTAGAAGAGTTCTGTAATGCTTCCTTGCAAAAGTGATAGTTTTTCTCAAAGAATGATGATGAATATATCAGATAATGGTGGGAAGTATGGGATTTGTTCCAGGCAGAAGGAAAACCATGAGGAAAGCCCAGAGAGAAAAGAAAATATAAGTCATTCGAAGGCCAGCAATACTTTCATTAACACAAATGAATCATTGGGAGATGGAGACAGGTGGATTCAGGCTTAAAGCCAGTCCAGGCAAAAGTTAGTGAGTCTTGATTTAAAAAATAAGCCAGGGGTGGTGGTGCTCTTCTCCTTTCCCAGCTACTTGGTAGGAGGATTGAGATCTGAGGCTGGCCTGAACAAAAGTATGAGATCTATTCTCAAAAACAAACCAAAAGCAAAAGTACCAAGGTGTGTGTGTGTGTGTGTGTAGCAGTAGTAGTAGTCATAGAGTGCCTGGCTAGCAAGTGCTATGCCCGGAGTTCAATCCCTAGCACTACCAGAAGAATTGAGGCCTAATTGAAATTTCCATTTAAGTGGTGGTTGTATGATTCCCGATGAAAGTAATGAGTACAGGGAGGAATTACACATTCTCAACACTTTGGTTTTAGCAGTGTTAAGCTAGTTAGCTAAAGGAAATGAGATGTGGGTCAAGGTAAGCCATACATAGTATAAGGATGACTCCTGTTAAAGAGAAGAGAGTAGGGTACTGTAGGGATTCAGAGGAAGAAAAGATACCAAGTATCAGTAAAGCATAAGCAGTTAAAGGTGCCCACTTCCCAGTTTTGATGAGTGCTCATGAGATTAGTAAACCTACATACTGAAGTTCGTTTCCCCAAGACTCTGATCTACATGAGGAAAATGGAGAATGCAAAGGAAAAGAAAGCAGACAGCCATTCTTCCAAACAACATAGGTGCCTGGAGATCTCCTTAACCTCCTATAAGTTAAGGTGAAAGGTGATTTTTCAAGAAGTTTTATTATTATTGGGTTTACATTTCCACAAGTATATAGGTAGAGTTTAGATATGTAAATTCCTTCTATAGTGTTGATGTCTCTTCTCCAAGGGATAAGACATTCACAAAGGAGCCATCATCTTACTAAAAATTAAAAGGAAAAATAGTTACTATAAATGAAGTACTTGGCACAGGCCAAGCCCTACTCTGAATACCTGTCATGTTTATCCTTTCCTAAACCTCAAGTCCAGGCCTTCTGTGAACCAATTTATTACTACAGTTTTCCATTTTCTTGGCTCAACCTGAGGAAAAATATAGCTCCACAATTTTAGGAAAATAAACTGGGGTGAGATATGCTGGGGTGAGATCTCAGCCTGATTAATTTTGAATCTCACTCCACTGTTGTTGATTAGCTATTGCTTTTAGGTGAGCAACTTTACATCTTACCCTCAATTTTCTCATCAGTGCAATGGGTCAATGATAGTCTCATCTGGTGGGATTGCTGTACAGCTTCAATAAGATTGGAGCTGGAACCTAGCCAACATATTATATTGCAGCCCACAGTGGTGTTTTTCCTAGTAAAGACAATATGCATAATTCTATGAATGTTAGGGACATGACTAAGAAAATTTGACCAGAAAAGTCTAGCAAATTCTTCTTAGGAGAAAGAATCAATATCTAACAGCTCTGTGAAGTATATCAATTGTAAATAGTATCAAAACCTTAACTCAAAGAGAAGTGTCATAATGTTGGAACTTAAGGCAATGCAAGATCCCCAAGAAGTATGTGGTTTTTCTCTGAGGCTTTCATAGAGAATGGTGGTCTCAGAGGATATTTGCCACAGGTTGTCTTCAACTCATTCCTCACCCACAACTCTCTCTGGTTTCAGCTTTCTTTTGCCTGGCACCACTGTAGAGTCTGTTGCCCTTCCCAGCCATCATAAAGCTCTCAAAAGTAAGAAGCCAGAAGATTGGTAAGGCAGGTGTGTGTGTGTGTGTGTGTGTGTGTGTGTGTGTGTGTGTGTGTGTGTATGTGTTCTGCCATGGCAGGAAAGGAGGTTAGACCAATATTTGTTAAGATGTTTCATTGGAAAAAGAAAAAGAAAAATTCTTGAAGTGCAAATGTAGCTGCTGGATCTGGTGCCCTGGCCTCTGCACAGACAAATTGATTCATGTGCTGCCACAGAAAATGCCAGTCTGCTCATGTACCACTGTGCTGGCAAAGATGGAACTTCTCATGTGGTCTCCACCATCAGATAAAGAAGTTGTGAACACACAGTGGTGTGTGTTAAGGGTGTATAGGAAATAACCCTTAAATGACCCCTTCCTTCTGCATGGTCAGGAATAATCTTCTCTAAGCATACTTTAGTATAGAGAGCATTGCACAGAAAAATGCTGATAACTTCCAGGTAGGGAATCCTCATGCTATCAATGACTCTCTGTGCTTATCTCATAAACCATGTGCAAAACAACCATGTGTTGTTGTGGTTACATTTTTTAAAATGAGATTTAGGCAGACTGAATAACCTGCCCCAAGTTCTATAGCTAGTAAGTGATGATGTTTAGTTACTGAGATCAAAACTTGGGCAGACAAAAGAATTCCAACTGGTATGTACTGTGTTTACTACATCATAGGGAAAATGGCGCAATACTCCTAATCTCCTTCATAAACTAAATGCTAAATTTTTCTTTCAATTAATACCAGAATTGGGGCACAGAGATGTAAAAAACCTGGCTTCTGCCCCTTAAGGAACTCCCAGAATTTAGCTAACTAAATACAGTCCGATAACATCAGACACTTTGGAGTCAAGCCAATCTGATTTTAAATACTGACTGGACAACTAACAGGAGGGAGGGGCTGAACTCAGGGAAATTTGGAAGTCAAACTCTGTAGGTCTTGCTAAGAGCCTCAAATAACAGACACCAACTTAAATGCTCTAAGCTTCACTTTTCTCATCCATTGAAGGGCTAAATGAACTGCTTCAAAAATCTGTTGAAAAGATTAAATGGGTGCTTACCAACAAAGTCTCTCAATAAATAGTTATGATAATGACTTACTTACATAAGAAATGGTAGATGCAATGGTCTCTGCAATGGTAGACAAGGACTGCTCAGGAACGACTTCACAGTGGAAGGATGTATAAGTTCAGTAAGTAGAGCAGTAGAGAAAGGGTGTTGTGGGCAAACAGGTATTTCTTAGAAAGAGTGTGCCACATTTAAGGGATGGTAATTAACTGGTGTAGATAGTGAGAGGGAGAGTATGTTTGGAGAGGTAGTCAGAGCCAGGCCACATTAGCTATTGAAAGTGGAGGTGTGACATGGGTAGATAAGCATTTTTAAAAGATCCTTTCTTCTAGTAAGAAAATGAAGAGAAAAGAGAGCCAGTAGCAGGAAGACTGGACAGGAGGTTAGGCATTGTTTAGAGGGGAGATTGCAGAGAAATGCTGGATCTGAGACATAGTAAGGAATTGACTTGTGAAGACTTGCTAGCTAAGAAGCCTGGTGACTGGGTTTTCTGTTTTCCACTGTTGTTTGAGTATTAGACTGGGCAGAACAAGCTGGGAGATGAGGTAGATAATGAATCACGTGGTCTTAATGAGCAATGCATGAATGAGGGATGATTTGCATCATGCAGGTACAGCGACCAGACCATCAGAGAGCCAAGAATGTCATTTAGCTCTATATGGAAATCGTGAGAAGCTTGGGACTTAAGCAAAAAGTTCTGAGTCACCCACCTCCCCATCTTCCTTTTTTTTTTTTGGTGGTGTTTCTGGGGTTTGAACTCAGGGCTTCACTCTTGCTAGGCTCTACCACTTGAACCACCATACCAGTCCTGCATCTTCCTTTTCTACTACCTCTTCCTCCTCATCTTCATTATCATCATTATGATCCTCATTTTTATCAATGTCATAATTTAATTGATTGGTTACTTGTCAATTGTTAGATTATTTTTTCTCTCACCCAGTGTCTCTGCATTCACAGTACAAACCAGACACAGGGCCTGGCTAAGGTGTACAAGGGGTAGGTTTCCTTCACCTTCTCTTTCTATACAGTCAGTGTAAGAACAATTTATGGAGAGTAACAGGAGGCTCAGATTTATTACATATATATTATTTCATGTACTTCTCACAACTCTGTGATGTATAAATTATCATTCTCATTTTATAGATGAAGGATAATTTAAGAAAATTCCTATCTTGGCAGCTAGTATATGACAGAGCTAAATTCCACTCCAGCTATCATCTGATCTCAGTATTTTTACTACTATTTTCTGTTTTCTCTTGAGCTGGGGAGCTCAAAGTTCTAGCCCTCCCTCTGTAAGTACAGTGGTATATGACCTGAAACAAACCATTCACTTTTTGTGGGCTCTGAGTTCTCCATATTCTCCCACTACACTGGGAAAATGTATGTGTCATGGACATGAGGAACTATATTAGGTTGTGACTTCTATATAAAGAACACTTATACTTTTCTTTCTCTTTTATATTGACTACCTCCCTTTGAGATTGACAGGAGTAGAATAATTGTCCCCATC